TCTCTCCAGTGCTACCTTGTGCTTTCTTCTTAATATAGGGAATGAGTTGGATTTGGTTATTAAAATTGGATATCCAGGCCAGGGATTTAGCTCAGTTGGTTTCACTGCCTGCTGTGCAAGCGTAAGGATCTGAGTTTGATCCCCGGCACCATAATAAATAAAGGTAAATACAAAAAAAAAGGATATCCATTGGTGTGGACAACCATTGTGAATTTGATAATCATAGAATTCAATTATTTGATGGTTGACAAAGAAATAAATGAATAAAATGCAAATGAGTGACTGGCTGCTCTTAGAGCCATTACCCCAAGGTAGCAAGATATATAACGTTGAATTTTTTTTTCTGGCAGTACTGGGGATTGAATCCAGGGTCTTTGCATTGAGCTATATCTCTAGCCTTTTATCAAAACACAGTCATGGTAAGTTGCTAAGTTGCCCAGGCTGGGCTCCAACCTGTGATCCTCCTGCTTCAGCCTCCCAAGATGCTGGAATTCCAGGAATATACCACCAAGCCTGGCTCATACATAGTCTTTTTATTTTTTATTTTTTGGTACCAGGGATTGAACTTGGGTCCTTGTGCTTGTGAGGCAGGTGGCGGAACCACTGAGCTAAATCCCCAGCCCCATACATAGTCTTTTAAGGCAAATGAGTACAGAGTTTACCGAGTAATCATTCTCTAAGTGATGCCCTATACATCCTATTTTCAGCAGAGGCTCTTCTGAATAGCTCATTATCATATACGGGCAATATGGCCTAGCCACAGCCCACCTATCACTGTTGTCACTTATTCACTCATTTATGGAATACAGTGGCATTACACCTCCAAACAGTTAACAGCCTTCCTTTCATAATCTTGTCATACAGTGCATCACAATTTAAACATACAGAATGCACTCTGAAAACACTGTACTTAAATGTCTTCAATATGCACAAAAAAGTCAATGAGCTCTGGTATAAATCCAGTTTACTCTTTTGCTAGGCTTTTATAACAGTCTCTTTTTTGTTTGTTTGTTTGTTTTTGTTTTTGTTTTTTTGGTACTGGGAATTGAACTCGGGACCTTGTGCTTGCGAGGCAGGCAGTAGAACCACTGAGCTAAATCCCCGGCCCAACAGTCTCTTATTCTTAACTGAAGGAACATATTCCTATTAGCTTGTAAGTTATTCTCCTACTGTCTTACATTGTTATATACTGCCTTGGGGTATCTGGCAGGACTGGCTCTACACCTAGCTGGTGTAGTGCTGCACGTCTCAGGAGCTTTAAGAGATGAGTCAAAGGGGACCAGGTTCAGTCTCCATTGCCAGACTGACTGGCTTGGGGACTCTGGTTCAGTCTTGGTGAGCCCAAGCTTCTCCATCTGTAAAGTGGTAATAGTACACATACCCAATTAGCTGGTTATTGTGAGGGTCAATGTGCTAATGTAAATTTATACTTTGTTCACATATTGAGACTATGCACACATCACCAGCTCAGGACAAGTATTCCCTCTGCTTGCTGATATAGAAATTGGTGGCAAGAAGCTTCCAGGAATAGTACAACGGTGAAGTGAGGGAGAACTAGAGTCGGCTTTCAGTTTTGACACTTTCTAGCTTCAAGTCTCGTAGGAAAGTGATTTAACTTCCTTAGCTTCCATATCTCTCCTGGTGGGCATAATCCACCTACCCAGATAGGATGCTTCCAGGATTAAGTGAGATTAAGAAAGTAAATGCCTGGAACATAGATGTGAGATGTCAGTGTTTCTTTGTGAAAATATCATCACCAACAACTGCCTTTCAGAGAAAATGGTCCTGAGAAAATACATAGAAGAACTAGAAAAAGTGTAGTGGGAGCTTAAGGGTTCTGAGATAAAAGAGGGGGCATCTGGGGAAAGGGCCTTAGCCACAGTCTAAAGCTGGTGAACAACACTGTGGAGTAGGTGCGAGAGAGCTGCCGCTGAGACAGATGTGGGTGTGGCTATCTCTTCACCATGTTAACCTCAGTTCCATCTTACACATTACTTTCCAAAATGAGGGTCACAAAGACCTTAGCTTCTCTCTTCAACCTCTGACTAGCCAGTCCTCTTACCTTATAAACCACATGTACACACAGAGGTATAGGTTTCTGTTTTCTAAAGACTCACACTCCCAAATGAGTCAAGCACTGTATGTCTTAATCTTAAAATTAAAGGTTAATTTTACTCACTAGGAAAAGCACAAGAAGCTCTAGGGTGTTTGGAGATCCTAAAATAGGTACAATAATGGTTAAACTTTAAACCATAACCACAGGATGAGTCTTAGTACATACAGGCTGAAGATAATTGCCAAATGCCATTGTAAACTTTCAATGTCTCGAAGAACCCTTATAGAACTACTTCACTCTTAACCTCCCACAACCTGGCAAAATGAACTCAGAAGAGTGGCCGAGGTACAGGGCTGTAACAAAGGCAGCCTGGCCATGGTGGCAGGCTCTTCATTGTTGCACTTCATAGCAAGGGAGCAGGAGCTAAGAAAGCCTGGCTGTGGCTGTGGAGTCCAGTTGCAATCTTGGCTTTACAAAGCCAGAACAAAGAAAGCTCTTCCTGTTCACTCATAAGAAGTGGTACTAAGCAGCCTTTTACTTCCTTTTTCTGTATGTAACTGAGGAAAATAGGAACTTGAGTCTGTACAGACATTAAGGAAACACTGAAATCACCTAGGCTCACCAAGCTATTACAGTGTCACACATATAGAAGTCTTCTATAACCTTGTCAGAGACCTTCAAACGCTATTGTCATCACCTGATGAAAGGGTTAAGGAAGACTTTGAAGTCAGGCAGATTTGGGATCAAATCCTGGGTTTAATATTAGGCATGTAATCTTGGGCAAATTACTTCTCAGAGTCTTGGTTTCCTCATTCGCAAATGAAATGCAGTTTATAAAGTTCTGAGTATTGACATAAGCAGAAAAAACATATTGGAACATGGTAGATGCTCAGTAAATGGGATCAACTGTTCATATTACAATTACTGTCACTATTATTGTATTTATCTGTCTTTCCTATCCGACTAAATTCCTTGAGAGTAGAAGAGTTACAGTTGATAGATACACCCAGCCCCGTAGCATGCTGTCTGCAGACAACAGCTGTTCAAAGTTTGCTGTATGATTCATTCTCATTTTCTCTCCCTCTCTTTCTCTTTCCCTGTCTATCCCCCGCCCCATTTAATCCAGGGTCTGCACGTGCTCTGTCGCCTACCTCTACATACCCACTTGAAGTCCTTATCTCCTCTAAAAGTGCTTTGCAAGGTGCTGATTTACACACTATGAAGAAAATCATTATAACTCTTTCTCCTTTGTCTTTTCCTTGTTCTTCAGTACTGGAGATTGGACCCAGGTGTGAGTCACAGTGGAGCTACATAGACTCATTAAGTTGTCTAGGCGGGCCTTGAACTTGTGATCCTTCTGTTTCAGCCTCCCATGTAGCTGGAATTATTGGTGCGCATCACCATGTCTAGCAAGATTTCTTCTTAACAATTCTATGAGGGGGCCCGGGATTTAGCTCAGTGGTGCTGCATCTGCCTTGCAAGTGCAAGGTCCTGAGTTTGATCCCTGGTACCAGGGGGGGAAACCCCCACCAATTCTGTGAGGATGTCTTATTTTAGAAGAAAGTGAAGAAAGTTAGATACTTTGCCTGAGATTATACAGTTACCCACTATGATGCAGAACTGGAATAGAAAAGTAAGTTTGACTACAAAGCCCTCACTGTTAACCACCACCTTTAAGTCCTTCCTTAGCACAATGATAAGTAGCTATTTTTGAGCAAGTTAATAATTGTTAGGTTTAAAAAGTGGCAACAGAAAGGTACTTAAAAATAAAACCTTTTTTAGTTTTTCAGAGGAATCTGAATAATTTTCTTTATTTAGTCTGTAGCTTTCTGCCAAAAGTACATAGTCAAATAAAGGGCAAGTAAGGAGGATGAAAGGTGAAAATTCAGGATGCTTCTTATTACCATGTATTAAAATGGAATGGACTATATAGGTGTCCTTTAGTTTCTTTAAGGGATTGGTTCCCGCATCCACAGATGCTTATATCCCTTATGCAACAGGGTATGATACTTGCATATAACACGAACGCATCCTCCTATACACTTTAAAGCATCTCTAGATTATATATAGTACCTAACACAATGTAAAAGCTATGTAAATATTGTTATACTGTATTGTTTAGGGTGTAATGGCAAGAAAAAACGTCTGTACAGGTTCAGTACAGATACAACTCTATACTAGGCCTAATTACATTGGCAAATGTAAGATTTTGTTTGTATTTTCCATCCATGGTTGGTTGAATCCCAGGATGCAGAATCCACAGATAGAGAAAGTTGACTATGTTTGCATTTCATCATACTGACCAAGTTCATTCATTCCTTCATTAAATATTTGAATGCCATACATGTGTTAATCACTGCAGAAACACAGAAGAGTCTTACAACACAGAATAAAAACATACCACACACCATCATCTGACATTTGGAGAGCATTATGGAAACAATCACTTGGACATTCCTCTGTA